TTTTGATTCTTTGCGTTCCTCATGTATGCTACAGACTGCCGATTCAAACTCTTTTAGCTTGCTTTTAATGCACTTCTCTTCAGTTTGCAGCTCAGTGAAAACCCCATCCGTGAATTGCAGGCTGGATTTAATTCATGTACATGAATGCTAAATGCTGTCCAACCTTTTGTTAGTTTCATCCATGATTAATTGGACAAATATCTTAAAGTTATCTTGCTGTTGGCGAATCAGATCTTTATAAAACTCCTGTTGCTGTTCCAGTATAGCGTTCAGCGTGCTAACACTGACATAGCTGTCATCCTCTGCCGGTAGCGCCATAACGGCCTTCGGGAGCATATTTACCAGGTCGTTTCACCTCCCCACCAGTGAATATCGCTGTTTTCAATTCCAAAACTCAAAAAGGTCCAGTGACAGGTAAGAGTGGCTTGCTTGTTGTTCTTCTGAATACAGATTGAACAAGAGCAAAAGGCACGTGTCAGAGTATGAAAGATGCTGAGGGAGTGTGCAACAAGTGTCACTTAGTGTATATGGGAGAAAGACACAATCCATAACAGCAATGCTCAGTGGTTAGTGGATCTGAGAGCAGACCACTGCAACTTCCCTGAACAGGGTCCAGTAACCAATGAACCAATGTATGAAGAGTTGGACAGCACCAGGCCCCGATATGGTTCAAGCCTACAGGCTGAAGAAGCTGACTGCACTCCATGAGCATCTGGCAGCACAAATGAACCAGCTGCTAGTTGATGAGAGACACCCAAATTCATGGGCTGCATCCTCCTGAGGACCCGGCCTTCGCGGTCTACGTGGGCCGGGTCCTCAGAAGGTCGGGTAGGCCGGAAGTAAACGGCTGGGGAAATTGGACGGTCTAGCCTTCTGATTTGCGTCACCGCTGTCTCGGTGGAGTTTAATAAACTCAGCCATCTGCTCCTTGCTATCTAAAATATAACAGGACACTGGCGTAAATTCTCGACTGTCTCATACTTCTGTTTAATCAGTTTTCTGTTTGACGTTTAGTCAGCTGTGTAAAAACCAAGGAGGAACCCACCCGGGGGATTAATAAAGTTTTATTTTATCTAATCTAATAACTTTAATCTCAGCCAAACAGATTTACTCACGAACAAACAACACACTGTAAAAAGCCCAACAATAACATTTTTAGGTTGTCTAAGTGACTTATATATTACGTTTAACCCGAGCAGCGAAAGTCCGCGGTGATCTGAAAATGATGTGCCGGGAGTTGTGCCGTTCTCGGCCGCATCAGTAACCCTCGAGCTCCCGGCTAGCTGTCGAGCTGGTGGGTAGCAGACGCCTCTGAAAACGTCGAAGCACTTTTGCAAATATGCGATATCTTGATAAACCGAGCAGATATTTGAAGTTTACACAGCTTTCTCGCCTGAAAATATGTTAAAAGTTTATTTTGTGACCCAGAAAGATTAGTATGAGTAATTTTAAAACTTAGTAGCGGCCGCCATTGTTGGAAACTGGAGTTTGGCTGGGCCGCGCTATGAATTCTGGGATATGGTGGGCCACGAAGGACACACCCGACCCATTCTTCACATTCGGGGAAAAGGACGCATTTGTCGGCTGCATTCAGAGGAGTCTACGAATTTGGACAGCCTTCGGCGCGTCGCTGTGACATAATCGGTCTACAAATGCGGCCTCAGGAGGATGCAGCCCATGAATTTGGACATGACCCCAGAATGGTTAACTGAAGGCCGGACAGTCCTGATTGTCAAGGACCCCCAGAAGGGACCGGTCCCATCCAACTAACGGCCAATAACCTGCCTCAGCACCACGTGGAAGCTCAGATAGATGGATATATGTAGAGAGAGAGAGAGAGATATTACACACTTCTGAGCGAGGAAAATCTGAATAATAACATCCTGTTTCTGTTTGAGCCTCAAACGCTAAACCCACTAGAATCAAAATAAATGAAAGAAACACGCACTATAAACCATCTCCACTTGCGCCTTCTGTTTTTTAAAAACTTGACCTCACATGAAAGCAGCACTTACCACCAAACCAAATATTCCAGCTCAGAGTTTCTTAGAATAAAACAAGGCCGAGAGGAATCTGACCAAAACAAACTCCTCGTGGTCTGGATGAAAGGTGGGATGTCTGGGCATGTCCACATCTGTTGCCTCTGTTTTCTTTGATTCTCTATCACTTCTCCTTCGTTTGTTCTTTCTATTGAGACACAAAGATAGAGACTCATACACACACATGTAGTTAAATGCGTTGCAATTTGGTGGCATTCCACAGCTGTGATTATCTATAGTCCAATTATTTCTGTCTGCAGGGAGAGAGTGGGAAAACTTCAGGCTACGGGGAGCAGACTGGAGACAGGAGCATGGCTGCGAGATCAGACAAGAGCGCATTTGTCCAAAATAATTGTTTCTTTTTAAGTTAAAATACAGAAACTCTGCAGAATAATATAACTGTATAATACATTTTATGTGTTGGAGCTACCAGTTTTGATAGCATGTACACTGAAAACCCTGAAAAAATACTGTACAGTGTACTATTTCTAAAGTAAATACATTTTTTTCTTTTTTTAAAATATTTTTGACCACAGATTCAATTTTTGCAATTTACCATACACAGAAAATCTCATAAACATCTGCAGGAAAAAAGATAATGTACCCTTTTTTGCTGTGTAGTTATTTTCACCATGTGTGATACCTTATGTAAGAAACTTTGGGGATTATTTGAGAGCACAATTATTGTTTGGGTATGGTGCCAATGAGGAATAAAAGTATCTAAATGCAGTTCATTAGTATAGTTTTACCCTTCACTTAACTTAACATTTCAGACATTTTTCATGCCTTTTACTGGCTTCTTTGGCTGTTTTCATCGCTTTGTATGATATCTGTTAGACATTTTCAATACATCTGACTCAAACTAACACCCAAAGACGCATGGGAACATGTTTATTATATTTACAACAACTGTTTATGTATAATATGCTAATTTTAACCTTTAGATGTGTAGTTAGGTGTATTTTCCCCTAGGCTATATACCAATGTCCATGTGTGACATTTTTTCATGACACACTTTAACAAGATGTTAAACAACATGCTGTGTGTTGTTCTTACACCACAGCTTTGACTGGTGGTGTTTTCTTGACTGATTGTGTCTTAATACAGCTGTTATATAAGAAGACTGGTAAGAATTTAGAAAAATGTGGGATGTGATTAAATGTTATTGTTGGCCTGCAAACCAGCATAATTAGGTGGTCGTGTAGGTCTGCAGAGCTTCAGGGTGGAGGGTGGAAAGTCTTTGTTGTGATAGGAATAGAAGTCCGTGAACAGAGTTAAGATCTTTTCATAACAAGCCTAACTTGGAAGTTACCTCTTCAACTATTGAGATTGAGCAGGAGTGTCTGTGTGTCTGTCAGCATAATGCAGAAACACAACGGATAACCTGTAAGTGTTTTTAAACTGCACTCAGAGATTCCTTTCATAACTTCAAAGGACTGATGACTGAAAATAGTTTCCTCCAGCTGCAGATAAGAGGGCTTTTCAATATCTGGACTGAGTGCTAATTCACACTTTTCCCATTTCTTTAGTAAGCTCAGCCTCAACGGGAACAAGATTTTAAATTATAATGTGCAACTTTTTCTACACTAAAACAGAGAAAAGGTTATTTTTTAAAAGTTATTAATTAAAACACATTATTAAAAAAACATATTTAACTATAAAAAACTCATTAAATACAATGTATATTAATAAAATAAACAATACATATGATTAAATATTTACTTTATTAAATTAAATATATATTTATTAAAATAAATAGAACTTTATTAAAATATCTCAAATGTTTCCAGCATGTCCAGACCACATAAATTAATATATATATATATATATTCACTTCATCATGGTATAAAATATGCTTTATTATGTCACCCACCTGCCCATGACTTTCTTCTCACATTGAGGAACTTTGCATGTCACTTGAATGAGTGACTAAACGTTTCTCCTGCTAAAAACGCTGCATTCAGACGAACAAAATCAACTTTATGGGATTCCTTGGCTAGTAAATCAAGACAAATTGAACTTAAAGACGTCTGTACTTTTTCTGTCTTTCTCAATATTTGCTAAACAAAAGTGTTTTACACAGTTAAAAAAACAAACAAAAAAACAGCTTGGTTGAAAGCCACATCCTCTATGACTGCCACAAACATTTATAGGCAGAAAACATATAAATGTGTAGTAATCTTATTAACATAGTCCATAATAAGCAAGTCTTAGGAGTGATTTCCTTTGATATGGCTACAATCTGCTCTTCAGAGGCCTGCAGTATTACGTTATACAGCAAAATTATAGTGAAGCAGCTCTCTTGCATTAAATCATGCAATTATATGTGGAGATGGCGGCTTAAAGTGAGCTGATAGTTTTCGCAGCGGATCTCCTGTTTCAAATAAAAGCCCAGGACTGTCCTCTCGTTCTGCTGCTTACCGCCTGATGCTGTTAACAATACAGCGGGAGGCGCCCTCACAACTTCTGCCTCTTTGGCCCATCGTATTGGAAGATACGTCCGAAAGCCGCTTTCTCATTGGCCGAGCTTTCCATCGGTCAAATCGAGGCGTTTGGCTAGTGGGAGAAGTCCCCGCCTACCTCGCGTTGTAAAAGTTTTCCCAAAGTTTGTTGCCGTGGGAATTTTGTGAATATTAGACCGGAAATAGGTTGTGTGGATATAAAAATAAAAGCTACGGTAATGTGAAATTTTCGCGTTAAAAGCTAAGTATATGAGGTGGTATTACCAAAAGATGATTATGATACGTTATAACACAAATCTACCTTTATAAAATTCGACTAGAAGTCACTTTGTGGTCAAGTTAAACATTTTAACCGGAAGAAGAAAGCGACATTTCACTGTAATTGTTGCTAACTTTGAGCCCCGCGTGAAAACTTTCTGCCCTCCCCCTTTTGCACTCCCTCCCTCCGTCCTTCTTCCTCAGCCAATCCATCCGTTCCTCGTTGATGTTACAGCGGTGATGGAGAAGCAGAGTTACCGCCACCGGCGCCGCTAACCTCAGTAACAACACAGACAGCAGGACGAAGGAAACGAGAGGGATAACGGATACACGGAGCGGAAGGAGAAGGATGGAAACCGTGGAGCAGCTCGTCTCCTTCCACCACATTCAGGTCCAGTTGAGCGGGGGCGCGCCTTGGGGGTTCACGTTGAAAGGAGGGCTAGAGCACGGGGAGCCGCTCATCATCACCAAAGTGAGTGACCATAACAACTGACAGCGTATATACGTGTGTTTGTGTGTGAAAACTCCCTGTTTGGACGGGCTGAAAGTATGTGTAAAGTCGCTTATGCTGCACTGTGTTAAATGCACGTTGCGTTCTGTAAAGTTTTCTGCACAGATTTAGACCCTTGGCTTGTTACTCGTATGCCACTGCACTCTCAATGGATGTAGGAATTGGATTTCATAAGGATGTGGCTGTTGCAACAGGCCTGACCCAACAGAGCAGCGGTTGTGGTGGTTATTGTCGCAGGTCTGTGTAGCTGCTCCCTGGGTTGCTGGTTTGAACTTTCCACTGAAGTGATTGTGCACAGCTTAGTTTAAAGTCCTGCTCTTTTTGTGAAGGAAAAAAACATGTGATTCTCCAAGGCTAAAGCAGATATCCGGTGCAGGTTGATGTTTCTCAGCTGTCACTGTCTTTGATTCCCCCCCCCCACCCCAACACACACACACACACACACACACACACACACACACACACACACACAATGTAATGCCACTGTGCTTTCAAACCTGGAGGTTAAAGGTTCCTGCCTGGGGGGATCCTGGATGAAAGGAGACTGTTCATCTTCTTGTTACATCATTTAATGTGAGGTAAAGACGCCCAAGTGTTGACAGACGTCATACTTTAGATGACTTGGTCTGGGCCATAAATAATCCAGCGTGAGGCTGTTTGTGGGATGTGGGAATCCTTGTAAATGAAATCCTGTGATTCTCTGTGCTCATTGCATGTTCCTCACATGGTTTCTAAGATGCTTTTACTTGAGTTTGCACTGGTGCGGTGTGATGTTGTGTCTGCACAGATTCAAGAAGGCATCTAAAAGTATTTGGTTGCGTTCCTGCATCCACAACTTGTGATATAGCCTCAGCCTAAATCACAATACTTTAAGGAAGTTTGTTACAATGATATTTATGAGGATATTTGTATGTTTTTGCAAACAAACAAAATAAAGGGCATTTTATCTTTTTTAATTTATTGCCTCGCCTGCAGCAGCAGTATGATATACAGTGACCCATCTAACCATCCATCCATCCAAAGTCAGATCGCAGTAGCAGCAGGGTATTCCAGACATCCTTCTACCCAACTAAACTTTCCAGTTGCTCCTGGCAGATCCTAAAACGTTCCCAGGCCTGACAAGCGATATATAATATCTCCAGTGGGTCTACCTCAGGATCTCCTCCCAGTTGGGTGTCGCCAGAAAAAAGAAAACCTCTAAAAAGGAGGCATCCTAACCAGCTGGCTCCTTTTTGACACGCCCTCTGGACATCTCTAAGGCTTAGCCCAGCCACCCTATGTGGAGGAAACTTTTCTGCGTTACTCTCTTGGTCAATACTCAGACTTCATGATCCTTGGTTGGGGTTGGAACGAAGACGGCCTTTTGGCTCAGCTCTCTTACTGCTGCGGCAGTCCGCTATGATGTCTGGTTTACTGCTGACACTGCGACAATCCACCGGTCCACCTTCCCATCCCAAGATGTAGAAAGCTACTCTGTAAGGTTTGTGCACTGAAAGCTAATCAGCTAAGGTTTAATCCATTTGCTTATTCTTAGGCACAGAACAACAGTTGCCTTTTCCCCCCCCCAAAGCACGTGTCCCCTCTGAAGAGTCTTAATGCACTACAGAATCTATTACTTTGTGCTGTCAAGTAAGATGAACGAAAATGTGTAATAAATGGTGGCGGGCTGCATCATCGCCGAGAAACGCCACCTATCTGAAAGAGATGTTCAGCAAGCTAAAGACAGCAGTTTTACCTTCAGGCTTTCAGAAGCTGATGTGACCTCATGCTGCGAGATCAAGTCGCTCGGTGGGAGCAAGGTTTCCTCCCAGCCTCTCGTCTCACAGTTTGATGCCACGGGTGGTGAGCCAGTAGAACCGAGGAGGGCGTCTTTGAATTACTACAAGCAATTATTGCTGTGTGTTCTGCTGGGGGTGGTCCGTGCATAAGTAGGACATGCAACCTCTGCTCCCAGTGCCTCTCGTGCTCTCTCTCTCGGTCTCTTTCCCACTCTGTTGAGAAGTCACAGCAGCAGCAGTGGCAGTGGTGTAAATGTTGGCTGGTGTGCGTCTAGATTGACCACAGTGGGGGAATGGAAAACCTGGCTCAGTCATCTGGAAACACAGTAACATAGCCCCTGGGAAAATGTGACTGAGACCGCTAAAGGAGATAAAAATCAAAGCTGGGCTCTGTGGCTGTTTTGTGTCCGGTGGCGAGCTGACACTCGCACACAGATGGATACACAATAAAATCAGCTCGGAAGGTGAGTGACGGACAGGGAAGTGTGGTGCTGAAATGTGTTTGGGGTGTTTAATGATTAAGTGTTAAGTCCTTGAAGGAAAGGGGAGAAGGACAGGCAGAGCGAAGGTGAAGCTGAGGTGTGTGAAAGGCGTGAGTGTGGAATGTGTTTTAGGGTCAGGGAGGGCCTGCACACAGAGCGTTACGGTGTCTGTGGACCACAGATTTAGAGGGATGAGCATTGTGTGAGCCTGTGACTTTCTTTATCTTATCTATTTGCTGTCTACAGATTTCTGTTTTACAAAATAATCTTAAGTCAAGGTCCCATTCCAGCTTACTAAGATTGATAACAGCCTGTGTTGTGATTGTGCCTCAGTACGAAGCAGCAGGTTACAGGCTGATAAATGAAGCCAATGCCTAAAGACAAAAACTGCAATTCTTCCAGTGGCCACTTGAGGCTGTTTTGAAAAGTGTATAAATCGCCATAGACTCCCATGTTAAAATGGAGCAGAGATAAGTAGATTTACAGCGTCACGTGAAAACTGGTTTGATCTTTATTGCTAGTTTCTTCCTTTGGAAGAACTCTGAAGGGGTGATTTGTTCCTTTTGTTAACGCCACTTAGATTTTGTTGAGGCTTAAACGTTATTGATCACCTTCGCTGAACTCAACGTCGCTGTGGCATTTTAATGAAATTACATTGTTGATACATTGATGACATGGTGCAACTCTGGCAATCTGTTGCACACTTTAGAGTCACACCAACCAGATCCTGAAGCAGGTGGAGAGCTGGGACTCGTGCTGCACAGAGCTAAATGCTGGCTCAGTGACGTGTGAAGCGGGCGTCTTATCTGTACAATCAGAGGCTCACTGGAGGAGAACAAGAGTTCAGTTGTAGTAGTCAGCTACAGTCCAGCATGGTGGAGTTGGAGTTCGTCTTTGGGTTGAGGAACTTGGTGGAGAGGCGGCTGATCACTGTTTTGATATATGTTGTCAAAAAGCGAAGCATGGGTGCACCTTCTTTCAGTTTGCTTGCTTTTATGCTGAATGCTGTTGCCCCCCACTATCCTCAGCTCCTGCTTGGGGAGGGTTCCCAAGGCGCTCCCAGATCAGATGAGATAGGTAATCCCTCGGGTGTGTGTCGGTTACAACAGTATACCTCTATTTAACAAGCAGTTAATGAAAAACGAGTGAGGCAACAATAGGTCATTAAAGCGTTGTTTGTTTCAGTCAGATCTTCTTACAGGTTTCTCACATTTAAAAAGTTTCCTTTTCTCAGGATTTATGCCTGAAAAGTTTTAATGTGGATACAAGTGTCATTCAGCAGCGTGTCTTTATGGAACAGCCTGGTGCCCTTTTCACAGTGTCTGTGTTTTGAAGAATGTGTGTGTGCTGCAGGAGGGGGAGGGTTGGCTTCTCCAGTCTGAGACAGCAGAGGGATGTAAGCCATTTGGTCAACATTTCACCAGGAGCATAACTAATTACTACTCTCTGTGGGTGTGTGTCTGTGAGTGTGTGTGTGTGTGTCGATTTCCCAGACTGGAATACTATGGTGTCCTTTCAGCCAGTGATCAGCTGTGTGATGACACGGTGAGTTTGAGGTTTTGTTTAAAGTTGGTCGGTCACTCGTTGGCTTTGCTGCTCGCTCAGCCGTTCAGCGACTTGGTCTTTGAGCCTCTTACCAGTGCTTTTCAGCCAGTCGGTCAATCGAGACGTAAACATGCTTTGGTGAAAATAGAGGTGAGGAAAAATGAGTCACGGTGCATCTGGGAAAGCCTAAAGGCGAGTCAAAAGCACTTTATTAGTTTGTTTCTACATCTTCATGTGTTTAATTGGGGCCAGGGCACTGATGGTGATGGTTTCTGGTTATGTTGGTAAGTAAATCAGATTTTTGAGAGCCTATAGCTCAATAAAGGCTTGCATGTTTTGATTTGGATGACATCCAAAGAAGACCTGTTTGTCTCTCTATCTGGAATCAAACTTGCAACCTTTTGCTTGTCAAGTGAATGTGTAAACACCTAGGCTATTGCTATAGCTCAATGAAGTAGAGGGAAATGGTGAAATTAAATAAAATCTCAATAAGTGATAAAATGCCATGTAAAAAGCTCAACATACTCCAGTAAGGAGTGAAAATAGGAACAAAGTAAATAGAGGTATTTTAGTTTGAAGCTGGAAAACGTCCTCCATGTGGTAGGTGAGCTGAATCGGTGTGCCAGAGAGGAAGGGAAAACAAAAACTTGAACGGTTAAAAGCCTTTTCACCACCTCATTATTTTAATCTTTCCACTCGACTTTTAAAATAAATACAAAGCCCATGAAGAAGTCTTAAATTAGCACCTGTTGGCTGCGGACATGATTTAACTTGGCGCGCTTCAATGGTGCACAGAAGAGAGAGTTCAAGAAGGCCCGCCAAGTCTTCGACAAACACACTGGTTATCCATTAAAACGACGTATTTCTGACAATAAAAATCCAACATCAGACACTTTTTCAAACTTTCTAACATGTTGACAGAGCGTCGGTTTAATGCCAAGCTTCGTTTTTCAGGTATTTTTAAATATTGTTTTTCAAACAAACCACACGTCATAGTTTCCTGAGAAATGTAATAATAAAATTCAGTTAGCGGAGATTAAACTGAATAAAAATGCACAGAACGCAGTCAAAGAAGCATGAATTTTATTGTACGAGTGATAGAAACTCCTACTTACAGTCACACAGGTGTGTTTTAGGGTGACGTCTCATTAAAAGC